GAAGTCAGTGACAACAGAGAGAGCCCATCCGAGTGCCCCAGACATCTCCCGGCTGCAGTTAGATCATTATGAAGTGTAATTTAAGTATTTTGCTCCAGATAGAATTAATTTTTTTTTTTCAATTGACTCTACCACCAAGAGTTAATGTCTCCATTAGTGCCACAGCACGCCCTTATAAAATTCATTGAATTTCATGCATTTATTGTTGTAGACTAAAGTTAAAAAACTTGTCGTCTAAGTTAACCAAAAATATTTCAAAGGACTTTGGGGGGCGGGGGGGCAGGGAGGGGAAGGGAAAGGAGAGATAACTGTGCAAATGGTGCTGCTTGGGAAATACATTCCTTACATAATTCCTCCAACTCTTTAGAAAGGCTTTGAAGTTTTCTAGTGAATAAATTTCTCGCAACGCAGAATGAGTCCACTCTTCTGAAAAGCTAATTAAGCAGCAGTATGGCAGGACAGCATCACATCGGGGTTGGGGAAGGAGAGCAGATAACTTTGTTTCTTTAGTACAATAGTAATCCGTAGCTAATAACGAACATTACGGCAAATAATATTACTGACCTTGCAACAAGCCACCCGTGTCCATACAGGCACCATTTCCTCTCCCAGCTGTAGCAGTTGGGGTTTCAGACTAGGAATATTTGACAGAAAGTGATTAATAGGACCTTGAAATCACAGGCGTCCATTTAGCAGAGTTTAAAGCCTTAAAGAGGAATAAAATCTCTACCCTGACCCTCTTTGTGATAAAACACATCACAATGTCCTCTGATAAATATTAAACCATTCCTAGAAGGGATCAAAGCTTCTGGACATGATGATGAGCCACTAAAAGGGGCAGGAGGGAAGCGGGGCTGTCACTGTCATCAATTCCTGCCACAGCAGGAGATCTGGGAGGTTAAAATCCACCGAGATGATCGCAGGAGATCACTGTGGGACCTCAGGGGATCTGAATCAAAGGTAGTCCCTTCCTGACCCCTTGACATAAGTATAGCTTTGCGTTATGGGTGAAGGGACACCAGCCTGGCTGCCGAGAGGTTTCTCCCAAGCTTTCATGGGCCAGGGGAAGGTTGCAGGGGGGCAGCTCCTGTCCTCCTCCTGCCTGCAGGGAAGTGCCACCGGGGTGCAGATGAAGGAGCCCAGTGTGGGAGATGGGGTGGGAGGGACTGGTTGGGCCACCTTCAAGAGCCAGAAACCTCATTTTACTGTGGAGTTTTTCTGGCTTCTGCGTGTTTTCATGCAGTCTGTGGTCGAGTGGATGCTCAGTCCTTCAACACATCACAGATGCTGTTCAAGCTTTGCTCTGCCACTCGCTTCAGGTGGCAGGAGCTTTTGGGAAAAACACCTCAAATCTCTTTAAATCTTTTCCTTCACTGAATCCTGTTCTTTGCTCCGGGAATATCATACTTACATGAGTACACACATTACAGGTAGCATAGTGGCGAAGCTGACCTGGAGACACCAGGTAGACAAGTAGGCAGATGACTGGCCGCTCTGATATTTTTCAGCCCATTCTGGATAGTAAAAGCCTCCATGGCTCACACATCCCCTGTGTTCACCTTACAAGTACATGTGAACTTGGTTGCGTTTTTTTGCATCATGGAAAGTGTTTGTAAATTATTCCAAGCCCATTAATGTAGTTTAATGCCATGCAAAATGCAGCTGAATGTTTTCTATTCGTCACCCTCTGATCTGCTGCTTCTTTATTTTTTTACAGCTCATATTTGAAGGGATCCGGGGCCCTGGCATCGAAGGTGATATTGCTATTGATGATGTATCAATTGTGGAAGGAGAGTGTATGAAATCAGACCAACCGGCCAACAGTAAGTGGCTCTTCCACACGTGGGGGAGAGCAAATTGCTTCTCATGGTTATAAATTTGAGACACCTTCTGAAATGGATTTGCTCCAGGAGAACAATATATTGTTTGGTTCAGTTGGAGACGCTTAAAGTGAAACATTTTCCTTGGAAGCAAGCTCTGGAGTCAAAATGTCTTTGTTCAGATGGGAGAATGCTGGTTTAGCAGAGAGGCAGTGAAAGGCTGATGGGCATTAGGCAGAGGCGAGAGCAGTGGGCTGCACTCCACGGTGGGGCTGGGCTGGGCAGCTGTGATTTGAGATGGGCAGACAGATAAAGCAACATTAAAAAAATGTTCAGGAGGTCCAAACAATGTGAAATTAATGAATAGCAGTGTTGTGATTCCCTGAGGACCTTGTTTCATCCCTCCACCCCTATGTGCGTGTTACAATACAGACCTGAACTACACAGCCAGGTTGTTTTTTATCCCAGCGTCTCCTGCCTCTTTCAGTTGGCGAGCGGCATTCTCCTCCCCTCTTTGTAGGAGGTGATGCTGCAGAGTGCTGTCCCTACAGAGACCAGGGCTCTGCCGGGGGGTCGGTGGCTCTCGGTGTGACAAGCGGAGACAGCCTGGGTGAGCACCACCCCGTTGTCCTCCCCGGCTGCCCCCGCCTTGGTGTGCAGGACAGGTTATGGTGGCTGAGCCCTTTTTTCTTCTAAGCCTTGTAGCAATGCTGACTGTGTCTGGGCAGCTCTTTAATTCTACCTTTTTCACCCCTTTTTGTAGATTTACGATCAGGTGCTGTTGGGACATTAGCGCATATACGACTTATCCCAGTTATCATCCTCATGTCTGTCTTAAGTCATCAGAGGTGACCTTATCCTGGCAGAGGCTACAAAAGATTCACCAGGCACTGGCATGAAGAAAGAGTCTTTGTAAAATGGACATTTAAAAACAAACTACCAAAGATTCCTCCACTGACTGACTCAAAAGTTAAATAAATACATAAATAAATAAAAAAAAATTAAAAAGCACTGGGGACATAAAAGGCATCACAGGAGTGTAACTCACTATGAACCACGCGTGAGAATGAGATCTGGCCTAAGTAAGGAAGAGACCTTCAGGTGCTTTTGTGGTCAATAATGAATACAGCATCATCTGGTTGAACTCTCGGAAAAGAGCTATAGAAACCCTTGTCAAAGCACAAAGTCATGGCTGGTTTTGTTTCAAATGAATAGTTTGCTTGTTACCATGGAAACCTAATGGCCTGCCAAAAAAAAAAAAAAAGGAAGGAGAGAGAGAGGAAATAAAAACAAAAACAGAGAGAGAGAGAGAGAGAGAGAAACACCTCACTGTAAACAGGGTATGTGAAGAGCTGGCATTCATTTTCCCTTCAAGAAGGTTTTTAGTATAGAGTTAAATAAATGTAGGCCCTTTCTACTTTGGCTGTCACCTCCCCTAGAGAATAACCCTAAATCAGAGCTGTTTTAAGACATTTATGTTTCATTTCTCATGGCTATGCTTGATAACTGTATGCTGTCTCCTTTTGCATGCATTACTATCCAGGATGTGCGACCTGGGCTTACATATTACACAGGCTTATCGGAGTTTGCTTGCGGCCACTCGAACACCCCTCTCCCCTCCCCAACTAAGTCATCTGTTCTAATGAAGTGAAGAAACCAAACCACCGTCTTTTATAAATTGCCATGGAAACCAAGTGCCTTCAATGAAACAAGCCTGATTTAAAAAAAATAGAAAAATAAAATAATAATAATAATTTCAACACAGAAGCTTGCACTGCTAAAATGTGGTTTGTGCAAACTATTTTCTAAACAAACTACGGAGCCTGGGTGTGCAGACTGCAGGCAAGGAGACGAAGCCGCTTCTGGAGATGGATGGACCTAAGCTGCTGCGTAAGCCCTTTCGGATGAAATATTTGTTGTTTAACCTTCCAGACAGCCATGGCCTTTCAGCTTATTATCCATTAGAAAATAGCTTCCGTTGGTCCTGGAAATGGGAGCAGCACTCTTTTTTGTTGTTGTTGTTTTTTCAGGTTATCAAGTGGGTCAACCAGAGGAAAAGGTTGTTAAGATACACTTAGCGCAGAAGGTGGTAAAACACAGAAGTGATTTTCTTACTCTAACCTCCATTCGCAAGGCAGTCGGCCCCAGCGTTAGCGGGACGGGAGGCGTGCGTGGGGGACGGCAGCGCGTACCGAGACACCAAGCAAACCGCAGAGCTCTCTGCAAACCTGGCGCCAGCGAAGCACCGAGGGTGCAGTGCCTCCGACCTGGAGCCAGACTCTGTGCAGATTGCGAAAGATTATTTTGTTATTGTAGCGAAATTTAAAAAAATCCACTTTTACAACAAAAAAATAAAAGCTCTACAAATGGTTTTGAGCTACCCGAACACGTACCGTTAGCCAGCCGGTTTTCCACTGCATTGTAAAGTTCCCTTCCAGTTGGTTATGACAATTTGAAGACCTTTTTCCTTAAATTATCTCAGCTTTTAACTTCATTTAAAAAAAAAAAGACTTTTGTCTAAAGAAGAGTATTATTATTATAATTATTATAATTATTATTATTATTCTGCGTTCTCTCGACACCCTAGGATTAAAAAAAACTGATATGCAAGTAATTGGGATACAAACATGAAAACAAACAAACAAACAAAAGAGCATAATATTTGCAAATATGAGTATAAAAAGCACAACGAGATGCAGTAAAACAATGACAAGGCTTGATTTTTTTTATTCTGTAGACAAATGTTTGTGCAAATTCAGTAATTCAACTGAAGAGATAATTTTACAGCTATGTTCAATAAAGCCTCTTTCCAGGTAAGGTATGCCAAGTGGTACGTGTGTTTGTTGATCAATGTGCCCATGCACCCCAGATGGGTGTAACTGGGATGGCTTGGTTTTTTCCCCTGGTCTGCTGGTGTTGTCTGAAGATATAATGGTCCATACTGGTGATGCTCGGGGGCTGGAGCTGTCTGAGGATGCTGCCGGCTCCCTGGTTCGTAGGCAGTTTGTGCTGTCTGTAATTCCCCACACCGTGGTGGGAAGGCAGCTTGGAAGATGGTTGGAACTCAGAGTCTGGATGGACTGTGAGGTTTGACACCCTTAAAAAAAAAAAGCAAATTTCCCACTGGCGAGCACTGGATTTTAATTGTGGATGGAGGACCAGGTCAGGTATGGTGAGACCTTGATGCAGATTTTTGCTTAGGAGGTTGGTGTGTCTCATAATTCAGGATCTGTGGAACCAAATCTTCACATGTATCCTCCCACTGATCTCTTGTGAAAGGCACAGAACTGCGGGATCGTCCTGCCAGAAGTGGATGTGTGGGGTTTTTTGCAGCAGACTCTCCTGTTACGTTTCTTATTCTATCTCTGACCATCGTGTGATCTGGGCAGCTCCTTTTTTGCTCATTTTCTAGTTTGAGCAACAGCTGCAGCAATGCTCCTGGCTGGAGCTGGGCTGGAGCCGCAGCGGGCACTGCACGAGGTCCCCGCTGCTCGGGGACAGGCACGCACGCTCTCACTTTGCCACGCTAAGCTGATGACAGACCTTGTTCTGCTGTATTTTATGACACTTAATTTCACTGTCCTGAGCAGATGAAACAGGGAGTACGGAAAAAAAAGAGTGGCCATCTGTCAATCATTTTGAAGTAAAACGTGAAGCATTCCATTTCGTTTAAAATATTTTCCTGTTTTTCCCTCGAATTTATCTCTTTCAAAAATAGACTCAAAGTAAACTGAAATTTGGATCCCCATTGATCAGTACAGGCCAGGAGAAGCATCTTCAAAGCGCCGGGCAGAGCTTGGGCCACAGGGCTGATGGCGGCAGCGTGCTGGGGGACTCTGTGGGAAGGGAGGATTTGGAAAGCGCCCTGCAATGTCCTCTCATGCTCAGGCAGCTGTGATGAAGACAGCCTGAAGATAATGAAATGGAGATCGTGCTTGCTTGTTTAGATCCTAAGCTAAGACTGCAAACTGAAATCTGTATTTCCTCTTTGTATTTTGATTTGTCTTTCCCTTGGTTGAGAACCACGTTGAATATTTGATGAAGGCTTTTTTCGATTGACAGCCAAAGACCAGTCGTCTTCTTTCGAAGCAGGATAATCTGTTTCTCCTGAAAAGCCCAGGTCTTTGTGCGAAACGAAATTTATTTCCCATGCCTATTTCAGTTTTATTCTGCTTGGATGCAGAAAAAGGTGCTAAGAAAAGCTGTTTTTCTCTTTCAGATGTTGATTTAGGAGTAGTGTTATCTTCCTCTACATTCCTAATGTAAGCCACTGAAAAGGCAATGGGATTTTACTTCGTCTGGGCCATGAGTATGAAGTACAAACTGAGATATGTATTTCGTAGTCTTGTTTTCTTTTTTTTTTTCCCTTTTTCATTTTTGCGTGAAAATGAATGTAGTATTTGTAAAATTTTTGGACTGACAATCAGACAAAGGGAGTTTGAACTGGTGGCTCTTCTATGAAATTGGCTAAACGCTATGATTCGGTTCTTGGGTATCCAATCTAGTAATGTTTCTGATGTATTTTTAAATTGGACATCAAATACATAATTGTACAAATGTGGACTTTGCAGCAACTACAACACTTGGCTGTTGGGATCAGCGACCGTGATTTCTGTGGAGGTGGCTGTGGGAGTTAGATGGGTGTTCCCAAGGCAGAGGCAGGTAGACCCCATGATAAACATCCTATTTTTTCTTCAATTCTTTCTCAGGATGATCTGGGAGAATAAGGGCATTACGAGAGTACTCCCCTTTCATTGCCTCTAACGAAGCCACACAAGTTCATTTCTTTCACAAAGCATGTAATTTGAATGTGAAATCCCACATACAATTACAAAGTACTTTGATCTCACTGTGCTACCAACCCACCACTTCTCCAGCCAGCTCCAGCCAGGCTTGAATCCTGATGGGACCCAACGGGGGATAAAAGAGCATAGACTAAAAGGGGGCAAACACATTACAAACCACACTACGAATGCACAATTACGATTTGAAGGCAGGAGCAGCTCCTTGAGAGCCCATCAAAGTGGCAATGGCTTATGTGATGAAGGCATTAACTAGTGGAGGATGTTTACACTGAGCTTATCTCATATCAGCCAGTTTTTGGAGACTATTATCTAAGGGTGTGCTACTGCCAGGGAAATCCCACAGAAATCCTTGGAAATGTGAAATTTCCTCTTAATTTCAGAAAGGAACTGCTGGTTCACGCAAAGGAGATGGAGCTGCAGCTGCCAGTCCCCAAATGGCTGCAAGACCCATGCACAAGTACCGACCTCCACTGGTGCCAGAGCCGTTTCCTTCTTGACACCCAGCACCTGAATGCTCTACAGCATTCACTGGTGTAAATGGCATCATTTAGTTTGAACAGTTTTAGGGGCAATGAGGATCCCCAGACTTTAAAACCGAGTTAATTAGTTAAAACAAAAAGCTTTTTGTTCAAGTTTGGTTTCTCTTTTACTGCCTTGTAAGGTCAGTGAAATCCCTTTGTAGTGAGTAGTTTAGTCAGAATGATCCAATATTTTTTCCACCGTTAGTGGAAGAGGCTTACCTGGTTTTATTTTTGGAAGGTTTACTCACTAGTAATGTTTTTCCATGTATCAAAGGATAATTGAAACTCTCTTCCTTCCCGAGAAGAACTGTCATCCATCAGAAGAATGGCTTTCTAGAGCAGTTCAATAAAAGAGATACAGTTTGGTATTATAAGCACTCTCTGCCTATATATGCTAATAAAGAGACTGCATGCCATCTGGATTAATTCTTGTATTTTCCCATAAAACTATAAAAAACTATAAAAAAGCTTATTATTACATTTCAGATTTTTTTTTTTCCCCAACAAAGCAACACCACAGGAGTGTGCTCCCACATTTACGGCTGCCCCACCACAATGCCAGTGTCGGTCCCAGCAGCACAGGACGAGTTCAGCCAGCATGTACTAACCATTCGATTTTTCTTCGTGCAAAGGAGCTTAGCAACCCACAGCTCATGCAATCCTGCAGTCATGGGACCTTTGGTCTTCAAAAGTTTTATATCATCTTTCCCTGAACCCCCGACCCTGTTGTCACCCCGTAGATCCCACGGGAATGTGCCCCAGCACGCGCTGGTGTGGGCAGGGAAAGGTGCTCTGCAGGACTCGGGCTGGGAAGGGTCATGCTGGGCACTCCTGCTGCTGGCAACCACCCACCATGCCCCTGCTCACAAATTCATCAATCTTAAAAACAGTTGAAAGGTAGAAGAGGGAGGATGCCTTTGATTTTTGCCCTCTATGCTGCCCGTAAGGCTGTTGCAAAACTTTGCTGCTGGGAGGTTTGCTATTTGCCACCCCCATTCTTGTTGCCAGCATAAATGTGTTCACAGCCAGTTTAGCATCATTTGTTCTTGTACCAGCAATGTTAAACATATTTTCTTCCCTCTCTGGTGTTAAGCTCCTCTCCCTCTGTACCCCTAGACCACCTTCAGGTCCCCCTTTTGGCTGTTTTCGGTCAGGCTACACTTTTTGTATCTTTGGGTTAAAAAGGATCTACAATAAAAAATAGGAGCTATCATTAACCGAAATACAGGATACTTGGGATTGTACATCTGATGTGACTT